CTCCAGTTCAGGCCTGGGGCGGGCGGCAGGGTCGCAAAAAAAGACTGGGAAGCACACGCCCACCCCAAAGTCCGAGGGCTTCCAAAAACTTGGACGATCTCAGCCATGTGCTGGACAACCTACCCCCCGCGCCCCCGCCGCCCAACCCCGAAGGTGGGGGCAGGCTAAGTCCTGGTGGGGAAATTCCACGTGCAGCGTCCACAGGGGCACAGCCACCTCCCGGCCCAAAAGCAGATTCATATTCATGAGAGCGATAAATAAAGACAGATCCGCACTGTAAGCCACTTGGATTCGCATCCGTCTCTGCCGGCCTTTAGGTTTAGGGGACTGGAGACAGATGCTTGCATCTCTTTTCTCCTCTTGTCTGGTGACCGTAAAGAAAAACCATTTAGAGCGTGGCCATTTGTTTGCCGCCGCAGTAAAACCTTGCGCGCATTTATTTTCATTTCGCCCCCGTGCACAAAAAAGTGCACACTGGTCACCAAGGGCCCTTCTTTATCAAATACGCATTGTACAACATGCAACTGCAATAAAACCATCAGCCCTCCCCATAAAACTATCAGCAGGTTCCTCGGCGGCCCGGCTGCCTGCACTCGCGCCAGCAGCGCTTGCTCACGTCCAGAGGACGCCCCATCACCTGAAACTCACCCGGCGGAGCAGCGCGGGGCTGGGGGGCCGCTGTCTCGGTTTAATCCATTGCGGCGTCCATTGCAGTTTAGTGCGCAATAAAACACCGTGGCAGCGGAGAGCGGGCGCCCATCCACTCCCCGGCACTAGCATCGAATTAAACCACTTAGTTTGGCAAACACTGAACGCCTAAATGCCCCTATAAAGACTTTATGAGTTTGTTACTTTAATTACTGACTTGTTACAGAGCACATAAAGGGGGTAATGAATGCAATAAAACTAATTATCTACACATTTAATTCATATAAAATATCCAGGGTTTGTTTACACCACACGGCGATTCAACTAAGCATTCCCCCTCTTGTCCACCGAGAGGAAGGATTTAATGAAATAGTTTCCCTTATTCTGCTAGAGCCTAACGAACCAAATGAAAATTACCCTCCGCTTAAATCATGGGGCCACCGAGGTCCACAAATCACCGTTTGCAGAATTCTTTGTTTGCCTTTCCGCTAGCACCCAAAGAGCCTGAGGAACTGGACAAGAAAAATGCCCAACCTAGAACCTGGGCATTTAAAGAGTAAGGATTCTCTCACTGTAGTCAGTGAACCTAAAAGGCAAACAGACAGCCATCCTCGGGTCTGGGGGGGGGGGGGCGGGGGGCTGTGAGCACCTAAAACAGTGGAGGCAGAAAAAAGAGAGGGAGGACACCCTAGTGGGGTGGAAGAGACACATTTGGGGATATTGCAAGTTCACTTGCTAGTTAGGGCGTCATTAAAATGAACAGCCGCACAGAACCCCCAAACCAACAAAATGCTAACCTCACGCTAAGGCAGAAAGACAGAGCTGAGCGCAAAGAAGCCATCGTTTGAGAATTCAGATGATTTACATTCAAGAGCATTGTTCTTTTATTTCTTTTTAAGCGACGGTGTAAGCTGAGTGTCTAGAAAAGCACATGAAGCCGAGACAAGAAATGCAATTTATAAGATGCTCTTAAAAACAACAACCCTCTACCAGGTGTATTTTAAAGAAATTCGCTTATCGTTCACATAAACCCCCTTGGCTCACTTACTCTATGTTACAGGGCGCCTGAGTCTTGCCAATGTCCCAGTCCTTTATAACATTTCATGCACTTCGGGGGGTAGGCTTGTTGTTAAATTGAGCGTGTAACGCTCTTACAAAACAGGTTTTCTATGACATCAAGGTTTCTTCTTCCTAACCGAGGGGGGAAAAAGAGGACGAAGAAGGGGGAAAACACACACACACCATCTCAATTTATGCCTAAGGTATATGATCAGTTAAAAAGGCTTAAAAGCTCGGGGAAATTGGATCAGGGAGAATCGTCACCCAACTTTCATTATTTCCAAGTAGTGTGATTGAATTAAAGGGCAGGGAGCTGGTTAGAAGGGAGGATCAGGGGCTCAGTGCGTAATGGTGTGGTATTAAATTCTAATTAGAGATGCAGGAATCAATGATAGGGAGGTTGGACAGCTCAGTTCCCCAGTGCCAGCCCAATAGACGGATGAGTTATTGTCATGTAAAAAGCGCCAGCAATAAGACCAACCGCTTTGCTATTGTCCAAGTGGAAAGAGCCAAGTTTATTATGAGGACTATATGCTCTAGAGACCTCAGACAAGGCATCTCATAGGAGGCTTTTTCATAAAACTAGGCTCTGCTGGTAGTAAGGAGGCCAGTTTGGAGGCAGGCGTGGAGCTGTGCACATCTCCCCACTCCAGCCACCTTCTCCATACCCATCTTTGATTTCATTTTTCCACCTGGCTGAGCCATCCAGAGCCTTTTCAATGTATAAAATGGAATATTCTTACCTCAATTCCTCTGCCTACGAGTCCTGTATGGCTGGGATGGACACCTCCAGCCTGGCTTCAGCCTATGCAGACTTCAGTTCCTGCAGCCAGGCCAGTGGCTTCCAGTATAACCCGATCAGGACCACTTTTGGGGCCACGTCCGGCTGCCCGTCCCTCACGCCGGGATCCTGCAGCCTCGGCACCCTCAGGGACCACCAGAGCAGTCCGTACGCCGCAGGTAAGGACCGCCGGCTTTCTCAGCCGAGGAAGCTGCCTTTCCGCCCGTATATAGGAAGCCTTGATTGCATTTGAAAATGGAAATGTGTTTAGTATTTACCAAACGAAATTTGCTTACACAAATGAAAGAATTTATCACGTTAGAAGCGATTGCAGGGAGGGGTAATTCACTTACAGGGTTACACTATCCTAGTCACACCCGAACCGCCAACAAAATTATCTTAAGCTGCCAAAATGATAGGCATAATTTATTTACTTTGCGATGAGACGTAAAGCTTAGAAAATAATTAAATAACAAAGAGTAAAGCTCATTACTGGCAGTGTCTCTTTTTTAAAGAACCCGACAGCGGCTCACACCTCTTGGGCTGGTCATTTTGAGGATTACTTCTTTAATTTATTATTGTTATTTTTGCAGCACTTTCCCCCCAACTTTTTGGGCTGGGTCAACTCCTGAGAATGGAAAAGTTCCAACCGCGGGAGCGTTTGGTAACGTCTTCCCTGGCTCCTTGATATTCCCACTGAGGTTTTCGGACTTTTTTCCTTCTTCTCTCGTTTCTTCCCCTCATCAAAGCATTCTCCCGCGCCCTGGCTCTCAGGGGTCTCTGATGCTGTAGGTTAACCCACCCAAAGGCGCTTGTGCCAGGAGGGCCCTCGCCTAACCCCGCAGTTGGCGCCCGTGTCTGTATGTAACGAATTTTTCTCGGCAGCTCGTCTCGGCCTCTCTCCCGCTCTGGCGTCGGTGGCGGCTCTGGGGACACCTGACCTCGAAGTCCCCACCGTCCGGCTCCGCGGCCCCCGCGCGCGCTGCAGACCGTTTTGCTCACACTCTGTCCTCTTTCTCGTCTTCAGTTCCTTACAAACTCTTCACCGACCACGGCGGCCTCAACGAGAAGCGCAAGCAGCGGCGCATTCGCACCACGTTCACGAGCGCGCAGCTCAAAGAGCTGGAGAGGGTCTTCGCCGAGACGCACTACCCTGACATCTACACCCGGGAGGAGCTGGCCCTGAAGATCGACCTCACGGAGGCGCGCGTCCAGGTACGCGCTCCCGGGACACCACCCGGCTGGGGCGTCCGGGGCTGGCTGTGGGCGCGGGAGCGGGGGGTGCCACCGGAGGTTCAGAACCCCGGGGCCTCTCTCTCTCTCTCTCTCCGGGGCCGCGGCTAAGGGCTGAACAGAGAGGCCAGGCGCTGAGGGCTGTGCGCGAGAGGAAGGGCCTGGGCGCACGCTCCCGGCTACACACATATTCACAGCTGCAAAGTGTTTTCCACCCCAGCCAGCGCTGCAGAGGCATCCCGGCAGCGCCCTTTGGGGAGCGTGCAGACGCTGCCCGCATATTATGAACATATGTGTTTGCCAAATGCCTCCTAATCCACGCGCTTTTAATGTGGAGCTGGCGCGTACAGGTGCATTTTCCAGGGAACGACTACTTGCATCAGGTTCGCAAAGAGGCTTCGACTCCATGAAGGTCAAGAACCAAGGCTTTCTCTGACCTTTTAGGGACAGGGCTCTCTCCAGGGGAGCCGGCCAGTGGAGGGGCAGTGCGCCACCTGCACGCGCGTCTCTAGGCTCAAAGGTCAGGATGCGAAGACCCAGAGACCCCTCCTCCTTCCACCAATTAGGGTTTATTTAACTTAGACTCGAGGCCTAGGGCCGATGGCGAGTTTGGAGTAGCTCAAGAAATAGACTGAACCAAGGTCCGACAAAGTAAGGGCTTTTATTTTAGGGCCGTCCTGGGACCGGCCGCCTTTTGACCTCTTCTGTAAGACGCCATTTCCTTGGCACGTTCAAGTCACCCTAAGAAAATTTCTCCCAAGTTGCACCAGCAACAAGAGGGTGGGAGCAGACGGGGTGGACTGGGTGCGCGTGGGAGGGTACCCGCGGCGCGTGGGAGTTGAAAAACGAACTCACATGGGCCGTGCACCCTCCTAACTCGCGCTTTTCTTTCCCGGGGGTCTCTCTCCCCCCTGATCCTCCGCCTCCCCTCCCCTCCCGGGCCAGGTGTGGTTCCAGGACCCGCCGCGCCAAGTTTCCGCAAGCAGGAGCGCGCGGCAGCTGCCCGGGGCGAGCCGCGGGCAATAACGTGTTGCCCCGGGAAGCGAGACCGACTCGTCCTCGGA